AGGGTAAAAAAAAAATCGTTAAAAAAATAGTCGTTCAAATTATAAAATTTCGTCAAACATTTTATGAGAAACTCATTCCAAAAGAATACTTCTGTTGTAATGATTTCAAATGAAGCAATATCATAGAAATATCCGTTTGAATTTTGAATCGAACTGAACCGAACTTAGACGAACTAAGTTTGAATCGAGCTTTTTATTCATTTATCAAACATAAATAAGCATTGATTCTAATATATATATATATATATATATATATATAATTGATGGCTCATGAGCATTTAATAAAATCTATTAAATTATACCTATGTGGCAATATAATTTTTTCCTCCAAAAATCGTTAATTTTTATTTATTTAACCTCTCATTTAATTCTTAGATAATCAACACACTAATCACTTCAAAATTACAAAAATCATTTTAAACTTTTGATTTGCTTACAGTTGACCATATAATGTGTTGACTATTTAACGTGATTAAATGTTATTGTTGTGGTTACATTTAAATTAACTTTTTTTGTGGAAAATAAAAAATGTATTTGATATTCCTAAATAAATAATAAATAATTCACAAAAAAAATACATACAAAAATATACATTACATCCAATATGATAAATGTAATTTAAAAAATTAAATATTCCATCTCATTTAATTGTAAATTTGGCCTGCAAAAAGTGCAAGAAAAATTATTAATTAATCATTATTTGCATACAAATAACTTACACTATTTTATTTATATCTGTGCAAATGCACAGGTCGAATACTAGTATAAGTTCATCGGCTCAACTCGAACAACAGAAGGATGCAATTAACATGAAAAATTTGAATAAAATATACCTCCAAGCTTGACTCGCCTCGTTAAATAAACGAGCTTAAAATCGAGCTCCAGCTTGACTCGTTTATCACAAATAACGAGCAGAGTTCGAGTGTTAACAAGCTGAATTACAAAAAATTATATAAAAATTATCTTTCGAGCCTTATCGAGTCAAGCCGAGCTCGTCTCGTTAACCAAACGAGTTTTGAATGAACTCGAATTCGACAGGTATATCAAACGAGCTGAGATGAAGTTGAACCTTAATGCGTCAAGCTCGAATCGAGTCAAGTCAGACTCGTTTAATTTGACGAGACTACCTCTAAATTAATAACAATTTGCCAACATAATGGACATGAGAGATTAAACTTGAAATGGTTAAAAAAATTTGTGGTGTTTGTGCTTTATTAGTGCGTGTCCTTGTGTGAGAGAGAAACTAAAGAGAGTGTGAGAGAGAGAGAGAAATGGTCGAGATTTGATTAGTGAGAAAAGGTAAAAATAGGATTATGAGAGTTTGTGTACATCGGATCCTTCGCCAATAATACTGTTCGAAGCAAAACACACCTCATTTTTCTCTCTATTCTCTCTCCTCTCTCTCTCTCTCTCTCTCTTCTTAAACTCTCCCCAAAAAAGTTGAAGGCAAATTGTGATAAATCCTCCAGAAAACAGCAAAAAACAGATGGGTTAGTTGGTGATTTTATGCTCTGATCATCTATTTAACACCCCCTTCTCACTTTCTTGATTTTCTCGAATTTCAAAAAATCCCCCTTTTTTTCTGATCTTTCTCTCTCTCTCTCTCTCTCTATACAAATTTCTGTTATTTTCATGTGCTCGTCATCTCTGAGGAGGATGACGTCACATGACGGCGACGGCGATGGCGGTGGAGACGGCGATGGCCCACATCCTATTGGTAAGGAAGATGACGAAAGAGGAGAGAGCGCCGGCCAGACAGGAATCCTGTCGCCGGAAAATCAAGATTCTTGGCCGGGGGACACGTCGGACTCGGAAAGCACGACCGGCGACGGGGAGGATAAAAGGGAGACCGAGGGTAAAACGGGAGAGGAAATTACTGCGGCGGAAGACGAGGAGGACGGGTTCCGGACGCCGACTTCGTCGGAGCACAGGATTCCGGCGCCCACTGTGTGCCCGCCGGCGCCGAGAAAACCCTGCCCGAAGAGGAGGCGGTCGAGGTCGCCGGCGGCTCGCCGGTGCTTGGAATTGGACGCGTCGGAGGAAGTCGAGTCGGTTTTGCAGTCGGAGGACGGCGGCGGAGACGAGCCGGAGAACAAGAGAGCTCGGAAGAGCAACGGCGACGGCGGCAATGAAGGCCGATCGTGAGATTTGAAATTGGCAGTTTATAAGAGTGTCAGTGTCGTGATGAGATTTAATTATTTATTTTTAGAATATAAAGAAATGAGACGTTTCATTTCATTTTGATTTTTTTTTATATATATACTTTGATTGGATTTTTATTTTGATAGATCATCATGTTGTAATGAGATATTCAAAAGGATAATATACACATTTACAATTAGAGTGGAACAACAAATTTGTTTATTTATTTATTTATTTATTTGCAATGTAATTTCATGATATAAAATATAATAAAATAGGCTTAATATATAGTCTTTGAAAAGGAGGTGACAAGGACAACAAACATTTTTCTTTTATTTTCTTTTCATTTTTTTTCACTTTTTTTTTTCAACTGCTTCTAAAACTTCTTTTGCAATCTAGGTGTTATGTTTGTGAAAAGAAGAGAACATATTCTCTTACTTTTTTTTTTTTTTTTTTTTTT